AGGGACTTTTAACTAGATGCGTCTGCAGGTGCATCTAGTAATAGTTAAATCGATCGATTATCGGGCGATAAATCGATAGTTGCAACTAGAAAAAATCTAGTAATCGCCCGTTTACTCGATTTCCATTGTTGTTACACAGTAGTTGCAATCGAGTAAAAATCTAGTAATCTAGATGAATCGGGCGATACTAGATTTTTTTTTGACGCTTGGGATGATACCAAAATCGGTTCCTTAACGACAGTGGAAGTTTCTTTTTGTCTGTCGCGTGCGATTTGCATGGACTGTCCTCGTGAAAAACAGCTAAGTCTCCATTATTACTCCAACCAAGAAAAATGCAAACAACAACTATGTTGTATTTTCACAATTTCTAATTAATTAATCCAAGATATGTCTAAAGGAGTACTAGTTTACAAGTTAGACAAAGCTCAAAATTCTCTGAGAGATGGCATAATTTTTTATTAGAAAAGTAAAATTTTTTCGATAAAATTGCTCCGTTCTGGTATAACTACAGTCATTTTAATTCAGTTCACTGACGCATGATTTCAAACATTGGAAAAGGCATCTCTCATCTCAATGCGGTGAAACACGGCATTTTCTTTTAAAGGAGTTTCACCATTTTAGCCCCAGAACAGGCTGCTCTAAGAAGGTTTTTCGTTACCATTTGCAATGTCAAAACTTGATCGACTGTGTTGATCTGTTTGTTCAGAAGCCTGCTTATTCTCGAAGATCATGATCGGAAATTATGTTTGAAAATGTTGAGATTATGGAGCATTAGGTCTGTCAGCTTTTCTTGTCTGGTGAGCTACAGAATTGTGATTTTAAGATCGATGCGCCCTTAACCTACGTCGAATCTGCAGATACTACACAGCAAAAAGAACTCAAACACATCTAACTAATATACACAGGCATTCTGCTTATTCACACCAACAGGAACTCCGCGCCTGTTTGAATGACCTTCTAGAACCATCGACCGCGCCGTCCTCATATCAACAGTGTGTAAAAATTCTTAGCTTACGTTCTTAGTACTTGGGAAACAAAATTTTATTCAAATCAAGTCCAAACACTACGACAGTAGAATAAACTATAAAAGATACGTCTCTTTTTGCTTTAAATGTGTTGTTGCTGGCTTGATAATGAATAATCTTGCAAAACACGACTTTGAAAAAGTACAAACAAATTAGAAAAGAAAATGAAGCTTGATATATATATATATCAGCTGTATATAACAAACTAGTATAAAATGAAATATTCTGTAGTAACTGTGGAGTACAGCAATGGCGAACGAAATATATTCTGGAACGTTCCCCTAGCTTCTTTTGAACAATTTTGTCGGTCTTTTATCTTAACCAATACATTTTTTCTCTGTATTTACTTCCACGCCGATCTTACATTAACTTTTCCTACGAGCTACTGTTTCTTTTCTCCAGGACAAAATCCTACAGATCTTGTAGGATCAACGTAGTAAGATAGCGTGTTTCAAGTCATAAGAGGAAGAAAAAACATCCACAGGGTTAGCAGAGTAAAATATCCTGCAAGATATATCCGACAATGCGGAGGAAATATTTTCGGTGGCGCCTCATGTTGCCAAAACCTGCACGATATAACTGACATCCGTAAGATTTTTGCTAATTCCTGCATGGGCACGCGGGATTTCAAATTTTTTTTCACTGGGTAATGGCACTAAGATTTTTATTCTAAGTGCTGAATTGTCGGAGAAACTTCATAAGTAGAATAGGCTAGATTAGAATTACTTTCGAGAAAAATTATTTGTTTAGTGGGTTAAGTGAGTTTGAATTTGTAAAAGTATATATTCGAAATCTAGACACTCTTAGCCATCTTTCTGTAAAAGAATTCTCGATTTGGACAAAGGCTCTCAGCGACACAATGTTTTCCAAGCAAACGTGTGTTTTCGTGTGTTTTTCACGGCTTTTTCATCCAAAATCAAAATTTTCAAATTTCATTTTGTTTTTCAATTTTTGCCAACGTTTAAGTCATAATAAAGCAATATTGCGGGAAAACAATCACTATCTAAGTTTTAAAAACACGTGTCCGCCTGGTCTATAGAGAAATGTCCACTGTGTGACTTGCATAAAACGCACAGATTCAACAGTTGTGTAGAAAGTGCGCCATAGTTTTTTCATTTTTGGATTCATCGTTATTTTTGCGTGAAATCACATAGCCTTACATCGCAAGTTAACATGTTTTTTAGTCGAGCAAAAGGCGACAGTCAAGAACAAAATTTTTCTCCACATGTTCAAATGATTTTAATTGATTGTATATGCACTAATGAAACCAAAGAGCTTAGTAATTTCATTCAAAGAAAATTTAATTACGTTGAATGCTATAGTAATATTACACACTGTATTGAACATATGTCGAGTTCACAATCAGACCACGTGTTTCTAGTTTTATCGCATCCAATAAATCAACAGAATGCATCGAATATCGATAACTTACAGCAAATTAAATCCATCTATATTTTTTCTAACAAGATAAACGACGAAGGAAGATGGACAAGAAATATTCCTAATTATATCAACGATCAAAATAAATTAGCATTAAAATTACATAAAGATATTTCACCATATCGTCAAGAACCATTTCCTATGAGTATCCTAAATGTAACAAATGACGAAAAGTCTCTACAGGATTTAGATGAAGATAGTCAAAAATACATTTGGTACTATTTATTATTTGATGTTTTAAAACATATGCCTGGTAGTGATAGCAGTGATGCAAAGAAGGATATGATTGAAATGTGTAAGAATGAGTTTAAACTTTCTGACAACGGAATAACTGCATTGGAAGATTATGAACGTAGTACTTCAGAGACTCAGTCCACACATCCATCTCACATCCTCTGGTACACGAAAGAAAGTTTTCTTCATCGTACATTAGATAAAGCAATTCGTTCACAAAATATTAGTCATATATTTAACTTTCGTTTCTTTATCAACGGTATTCAAACCCAATTACTTGAACTCTATAGTCAATCTACGGCGTTCAACAATAACGAACATTTTGAACTAATAACCTACCGAGGTCAAGTAATACTCTCTAATGAATTACACAGTATGCGCAAGAATGTTGGTAAGTTAATGTGTGTTAATTCGTTCTTTTCTACAACACTAGAGAAAGAGGTGGCTTTAGGATTTATGCGTGTCCCGACATCTGATGTTAAAAGAGTGCTATTCATTATAACGGCAAACACAGAAAAAGCTGTATCACAGCCGTTCGCTCAAATTAGTTCGGCTAGTTTCTTTCCAGACGAAGAGGAAGTTTTGTATATGGCGGGTACTGTTTTTCGAATTGACAGTGTTCAAATGACGAATAGTGGAGAATATTATGAAATTCGACTGATACTGAATGATAAAAATGATGAGAAAGTTAAAGAATTGTTAGGAAGTATAAAACATCAGTTAGCGGAGGAAAATTCATTTATAACATTTGGAGATTTTTTAATTGATCTTGGAAGAACTGATGATGCACAAAAATACTGTGAAATGATGTTAAAGAAAATAGATCAAAAACATTATGGTAAAGCTATTCATCCGATATACGTCTACATGTATAACACACTCGGTCAGTCATTTTTTGTTAAAGGCGACTATCACAAAGCCAGAGAGCGATATCAGTTTGCATCTAAACTAAGCTTTCAAAATCAAGGCTCTCGACAGTACACTGCTGAAGATTCGCAAGCACTAGCTCTTACATGTACGAATTTAGGTTTAGTTTATTTTCAGTTACAAGATTATGGTACAGCACTGCGTTATTTTCGACAAGCACGCGACATCAGAAAGGATCCTCGTTACCCAATTGATGAAGTTCGTCTAGCTAAAACCTATAGTTATATAGCTCTGTCACAAAAAGGTATGGGCAATAAAGAAATGGGATTAAAAACTGCTGAGAAAGCGCTGAAATACGCTAAAAGATTGCCAGAAAGACAGGCCGTACTTGGATGGGCACTCTTAAGTCAGGCAGCATGTAGTCGGAGTGAAGAAGCCGAGAAAATCTATCTAGAAGCTTTAAACGTTTTTGAAAGCGGAGCCTTACCTAAAAACCATCCAGACTTAGTTTATTTTCACTTACAAATCAGCAAATTATATCGTAATTTAAAAGAGTTTAAAAAAGCAGAAGAACACGATCAAAAGGCTCTGTTTATATGTAAAACGAGAAATGAAAATCCGACAGCCATAAAACTGTGTGAAGAATATATAACATTAGATAAAAATCCACCTGCACGAAAATATTCTATTTAAGATTGTCAGCAGGGCAGAAATTTAGTTTTTGATTTTTCTTCTTGCAGTCTCATGTTGAGACTTTCTTTTTTTCCTCTGTTTTGTTCAACAACAACTAAAACAAACGATGATTTTGCAACAAATTCAAATAATAAACATCGTGCATCGAGTGTACAAGAGAAGCTTCGTGCTATTAAAGACTACCAACAATATATGAATTTTAGTCATATCACCGGAACAAAAAAAGTAAAGTTGGTCTAGAATTGCTGAAAAGTGATTTTTCGTATTCATCACACTCGATAACCTAGAAAATTTTCTATTTTTGGCCCGGGGTACTTCCGAAAGTTTAAGAAAAATTTTGAAACAAAATGGCGCAAAAAGTTTCCCATGGAAAAATAATATTAATTTGAAAACTTTTCCAAAACTTTCGAAAGTACCTCGAGCCAAAAATAGAAAATCTTCTAGGTTATCGAGTGTGCTGAGTACGAAAAACTACTTTTCAGCAACTCTAAACCAACTTTATTTTTTTTCCGGTGATATGCAAATTAGTAAAAAGCATGGCTGTAGTACAAAAATGCTTAGAACATGGTCAAAACAAGAACAACATTTATTATAACTCACTTTAATTTTGTGTGCTTTCGCCGATGATAATACATGTGTTGGTCCTGTCCTCAATCAATCAATCAATTTTATTTTAGTCCATGATGTTAATAAAATGACAGGGTAATGACAAAAGTTCAACAAAGAACTTGTCTAGGTCATCCCCAGTAAAAAACAAAACAAAAAAGAGATATAAAA